GCTCACCTTTTTTAGGTTCTGTGCTGTTGTCGGATATATGCAAATTGCCTAATATGAATCCGAAACGAACAACCGGCATTAGCGAGCTTATATATGAATCCTTCAACTTTGGGTCACTCGACCAATAGTCGCGATAAGAAGGCAGTTTTTTTATTCCCATCAGAATATTAATTCCTAGAAAAATCAGTAACTCTTCTTTTTTGATCAATTGCTTTTCCTGAGTTTTCTCCTGTGTATATTTATTTGTTTGCTGAACTAGTAAATCCAGCATGTCGTCAGGAAAAAGACACAAAAAAATATCTAGTGGAGATTTTACGTTTTCGGGGATATTTGGTCCGAAATCAGCAGTGAATTGATCATCATCTCTATTTTTTCCTTTTTTCTTTCATACTTCATTGCCAGAGCGTTCTCCTTGATCTTCATCTGAATCGCTGTCACCTTCATTCTCTTCAAGCTAATCTTCGGTTTCTACATTTATATCATCCTCCTCTTGGTCTGAATCAACAAGTCCATCTAATGACTCCGTGTCGCTAGGAATATCAGCGATTTGCATTTTGTATGAGATACGTTAATATTTGTTATTATAAAAAAACTCGACTACTTGATAAAAAAAATTTTTAATGCTACAGGATCGGTACAAGCTCTTACGAAAATTGCAACTCACAACAGATTTTAGTGTATTATACTACAATGATCCATACGAATCTATTTTATCGCTCTAAAATTGTTTGTCCATCGGTCTCCAATAGATGACTTGAAATGTTCGATGTGCTATATAATTGAAAGAATTTTTAACGCTCGCTATATTTTTACTCTTATGTATACGTATATAATTTCACGATTATTGAAGTCAAGTAAGTTTGGTAATGATTTATCCTCTGATTTACTGAATTGGCATTGGATCTAATGGAGTACCAGCATACAGAAATTACAACATTTGAACAGATGACGGTTTGTTACAGCCTCTATTGATAGAAGGAGTTGGCTTTTAAAAATATGGAATTTCAGAACTTTCCGCAGAAAGAAAGGAAATTTTCGAAGAAATGTGATCACCCATCCCGAAAACTTCTACATGCACATTTTCAGAAGAAATTCTGAAATATCAATATTTGCTGTCGTCTTTGATTCGTTATTACGAATTTCGGAAATTTGAGTTTAGATTCATAATTAGCGACCGCAAAAACCCTTGTATACCAACTTTCAATAAAATAAAAAATATACACCAAATTTTGCCGCCATCTTGGATCCGCCATTTAAAATTTCAAATTTCTAAATTCAGAATCGTGATTAGCGATCCCAAAAACTCCTTTGTATAAATTTTAGTAAAATTATAACTGAAAGTATCTTCAATAATGAATTTTGTTTATAAATAGGGCTGTTTTTTCGTCTTTGTTTAACAATATTAACAAATTAATAAAAGTTGTGGCACCAATTGACGTAAATTTCAATTGTATATCATCCTATAATCGTAAAACAACAAAAAACTCAGGGTAAATTCATCAAAAACTATTCTAAATTTGCAAAAAAATGCTATGAAAAAAGGTGGGAATACGTATTCCCACTGTGCCGCAAAGGGTTAACCCTTTCAGGGACAGCGTCTTATAATATGATACACCTAAATTTTTTCAGTTTTTTATCCATACCCCAGCCGTTTTGAGCTCAATCGCTTTCGAATAAATTTCTATACCATCATTAATACTTAGGCTTCATAATGCTTTGATTAAAAATTTGAAAATTTATTTATTTAATTATCTATAAACAATCAGAGACGGAAAATTTTCAGTTTTATCGAATAAATTCGGTCTTGGACAGAGTTTTCAAGACAATTACATGAAAATTTGTATAAAAGGGATTTTGAAGATGCTGATCACGAATCTGGTATCAGAATTTGAAAAATCTAATATGGCGGCTATTTTCGGTTAGAATTGCGGTTTTCTGAGTGTTAAAATAGACGCCATATTAGATACGCCATTTTTAATTTTGAAAATCGGACTTCAGATTCGTAATCAGTGATCCCAAAAACCTTTATGTACATTTTCGGATTCGGGATAAGTGCTACCGAAAAAAGTGCCCCTGAAAGGGTTAAGTTCCACCACCCAGAGCCAGCCCTTCGTTCGCCGTCCCTAACAATCTAACTCACAGATCGCACCACCCCAATTATGGCTTCTATAGCGCATAATTGAAATACGTCGTTGGATCAGTGATCCAATAACGGCGTTATCAGGGAGGCGATCAACCTCTGTGGGCAGGCACGTATACTCGATCGCGTAGTGACAGACTTTTCCGGTCGGCTCCGACGACCATAAGTCGTTCGACGATCGCACTTATGCTCACTATTGAGTAACAGGCAATCCTGAGTACTCTTTCTCTCATTCGTCGTTCTTGGCTACAAGCGTGTCATTCAACTCCCAATCTCTCACTACCCGTCGCCTCTCCTTTCCGAATTTTCTCTCTTCTCCCTCCCTCCATGCGAGTCACTGCATTCATGGTCTTGACAAATCTTCTAACTCCACTAATCTCCACCACAAACAAATAGACCAAATAAGTGTATTTGCGGTTATACAAATTCATATACGAGGGTGGTCCGATAAGTACTTAGACTACAAAAGAAAAACGAAAATTTTGGAAAAGTGGCGTTTTATTTTTCAACATAGTCTCCTTTTAGTTCGATACACTTGGCCCAGCGATGCTCCAACTTCCTTAACCCGTCTGAAAAATATGTTTCCTCGAGGTCTGAAAAGTAGGCTTCCGTGGCAGCGATTACCTTCTCATTCGACTCAAATTTCTGCCCGGCGAGTGACTTTTTCAAGTTTGGAAACAAAAAGAAGTCGCACGGGGATAAATCTGGAGAATACGGTGGATGGGGCAGCAGTTCGTAGCCTAATTCGACCAATTTGGCCATGGCGACGGCGGAGGTGTGAGCCGGTGCGTTGTCATGGTGGAACAGCACTATTTTCTTCGCCAAATGGGGCCGTTTTTTCTGCAATTCGATGTCGAATCGGCCCAATAATTCGGCATAGTACAGCCCTGTGACCGTTTTGCCCCTCTCGAGGTAGTCGATTTAGATCACACCTTGTGAATCCCAGAAAATGGTGGCCATCACCTTTCCGGCCGATGGGGCAGTCTTCGCCTTTTTCGGAGCACTTTCGCCGGGTAAAGTCCACTGTTTCGACTGTTCCTCGGTCTCTGGTGTATACCAGTGGATCCATGTTTCGTCGACTGTCACGAAACGACGCAGAAACTCCTTCGAATTGCGCTTAAACAGCGTCAGACATTGCTCTGAAGTTGTCTCACGGCTGCTCTTGTTGTCTGCAGTGAGCAAACGCGGCACCCATTGCTTCGACAGCTTTCTCATGCCCAAAATTTCATGCAGGACATGGCCCACGCGATCTTTTGAGATGCCTACGATCTTAGTTATCTCGCGCACCTTCAATCGTCGATCTGCCAATACGAGATCGTGAATTTTTGTCACGTTATCCTCCGTGGTAGCCGTTTTCGGAGCACCTGGACGTGGCTCTTCAAAAATCGACGTGCGACCACGTTGAAACTCGTTAAACCAATTTTTGACGGTCGCCATCGAAGGAGAAGAGTCACCGTACACAGCATCCAAACACATTTTGATTTCGCTGCGCGATTTTCCTTCCAAAAACAAGAATCGAATCACCGACCGATACTGCTCTTTTTCAATTTTTCAAAAATCGACGAACACACTTGCTTTCACACGCTCTCAAAAATAAACTACAACTCCGATCCGGCTGAAATCTTGACAGCAACCATCGAGAAGGTTGCACTACGTTATAGAATATTTTATTTGCGAGAGTGGCGCCATCGGGCGGTGAGGCTAAGTACTTATCGGACCACCCTCGTACGCTCGTCCTGACGATGCCGCGCATGCAAACAAATACGGACAACGAAAAACGAATAGGAAAATCGCTAATAAAATGGTTTTCCTCGTTATACACTATTTTTATATCCATTTTTATTTTCTTGTACTATATTGTTCACGATGTCTTTCTCAATTTGTTCACGCTTGTGTTGCGCTATGAATTGTCACACGATTTTGCTTAACAATCCACATGACAACATTAATGTCAAAACTAAGTTAAGATTATTTTGGCATACAATGAACGAATTACTCATGAACGAAATTCGACTTATATTATATTTTTTGACTAATTTGGTTGTATGATAGTGATTTCTGAACAATAATATGCTTTTGCACCCACTATTACGTTGCAATGAGATTTACAATCCTTATTAAGCAAGGTAATGGAAAGCTTCGTAACGCCCTACTTCGAAGTGAATACTCATTTTTAAATAGGTCGCAATTTTTTATGAGAAAAGATAGAAACTTTTAACGAAAATTTAATTAGCCAATTAACAAACCTAGAAGATTTTACTTGATATTATTATTTTACCACTTTGTTATAATAACAATGAAAAAAGTATTGACATATTTTTTAAATTCGCAATTTTATTTTTTTTAAGTCAAAGAAGTTCTAATATTTTCAAGCATGTCTAAAGACTACTAATGATTAAAAAACATCAAAAGTTAAACGATTGTAACATAATATGATTATTCTAATGCAATATTCAATAATATGTGTACAATTATAATATACAATATTATTCAAATATGAAATTAATTATTAAATAAAACAGTATCTTACATATCAGATAACAATTTCGAAGTTCGTCGATTACAGTCGATATTTAAACCATGCTATTAGCTTATAGTTTAAGTAAGTAAATTTATTGAATCATATCCTTCATTTGGACTTGGAAACTATAACTATTTTAACTTACATAAGTTTGAAATTCACTCAATGATTTTTTTCAACGTCTAAACATTTAATATCGAACTCATTTTACAATAACCTAACCCATACGTATACGCGCGAGGGTTTTGGTCTGTGCGTGTGTGCTTGCTGTGATCGTGTACATGTGAGCGATTGCGTGTATGTCTGTATGGAATTATTCAGCAAAATAATATAAATTACCTGAGTTTTGGAATCAGGTCGGGCCCACCAAAGATCACCACTTCGCCTGAGTTCAGCAATTTTTTGATTTAATTTGTGAGCCAGTACCACCGTCAATGGCATACACTCTTCGGTTTCATCTGTTGCATAACCGAACATCAGTCCCTGTTTATTTGAAAAAAGCATTTAGTATTTTTATTAGAAAAAAAAAACATTATAAGAAATACATGCTATTAAGGAGCATCACAACAACAGAAAAGTGTACAAATACATTTTCTTTTGCCCAACTAATTAAATGTGATTACTTTTTCTAGTACTGAAGTTACATTTCTAACCTGATTAGGCAAAAAAGAAAAAAATGTAAACGTACCATAAAAAGTAAAGTGGTAAGTTCATAGTACGTGTTTGTTACGACCTTCGCTTTTCGCTTATACAATACAACATATAACACGAACTTTGATCTTGCCAATACTTTATTTGTTTAGGTGTATATTGTTGTGGAAAATGGATATTATTGCAGGCAGATTTTCTTGTTTCTTACAAATAATGTAAAATTTATTTATCATCTATTAATCATTCTTATTCAAATATCGTTACGTATAAAAAGTTTTGATAATTTGAGTATTACCAGCTGATAAATGATTTATTGATTTTTATATGGAATCTCATGTGGTATTTTTGCATCCAAATACTAGTGAATGATTTTTAATGTAAATGAAATACATATTATTTAATTTTGTAATAATTTCTGGATTGAAAGGATACATGTATTTTGTTTAGAATAAATATATCTGGATGTATACATCACAAGTATTAATATACTAATAGAAACGATACATAGTCTATGAAAAAACAACAATATGTATATAAGGAATAATAACAATAAATAACCTTACAAGACGGGGATGGTTCATTTTAAGATCACCACATACATATCAATATTCGATGTTTTTTTATAGCTATACTTGGAGTGTAAAATATAGAAAAAATTGTAAAAAAATTCCAGAGTAATTCTTGACATTAAAAATATCTTCTCAAGGTCAAATTAAACTATTACAGCATAGCTATTATAGGTGGGACCAAAACTGGATACGTATTTATCAGACCGAGTGTTTTAGATTTATTTTGATTTGATTATATATTTCGTCTACAGGTGGAAAGAATAGGGATTAATAGTAGTAATGGCTATAGCGAAATGTAAACTTTCAAGGTCAAAGAAATCCTCTGAATCAGTTTCTTATTTTTCTCATATTAAGAAAGTATGCTGGAAACAGTTTGTTTTATGTTTTAATAACCGTTGTTTATTGGTTAACTTATATTATGAATTGCAGTACCAACAATTGTCTTTTCAACTTCCATGATCAATTTTACAAGGTTTTTCAAATCGCAATTTTTTCAATTACGAAAAAATTTTCAATTTTATGCATACAAGAAGATCTCATTATAGATATAAACATACACAAATATATACATTGGAATGCGTCGAGACGGCATCACTGATCGAAAAAAAAGAATAGAAGACATAAGTGTTGCCATGAACAATGTTTATTTAATTATTGCGTATAGGATTCAAAAGTTTGCAACAATTAGAAATCATGGTGGCTCAATGAGTGAGAGCTCATGTTTTTGTGCAAAAGGTCGTGGGTTCGAGTTTCAGACATGTGAGAATTTTCAGAAATGAAATTTTCATGCTTGTGACTGTGTTCCAGTACTTCGGATTCCACCTTAAACTGTAGATCTAGTCATGATGCGTGTAAAACTTTCTCCTCCTGTACTATTTCAAAAAATGATGGCGGAGGTGAATCTATTTACGCATGATTATAAGAACCAAGACTAATGCCTACAGATGATACCTAGTGTACCTCTACAGCATTTCATGTAAATGTAGTTCTTGAAGTTACAGTATAATAATAACAATATACATTTTAACGAATAGAATTATTGAATCGAGCGTACGGTCCCAAGTACAGAATTGGGATAAAGAGAGCGTGAATAGGACTACGAGATCAATTAAAAAATTCGGGAGTGGTTGAGCACTGGAAATCTAAAAGAAGGACCAGTGACATGCAAATCACAACTAACGAGATAGTATAACTTGCACTAGTAACAAGCAAACTTGTTTGATCGAGCAGTCACGTTATTTTTTATGTGATCTCGTTGCTCTTGGCTTTTAGTCGAGAATCGTCGTGGAGGTTTGCACGACAGGAAGAAATAAAAGGAGGTACCCGTGTCACTACGAGGTGTCTGCGTTAATACGAAATGTTGCTAGCTGCCAAAAAGGGGTGCAGTGAGTTTGATCGCCTGATGCAGTTTTGCCAAAGAAAAAGATCCTGCCTACCGGATCAATGCTCTAGAGTCATTGAAGAACTCTACCACAACGGTAACAGAAGCAGCCGAAATTCAGTCGTATGAGCCTGTCAAAAGTGTTACACAGCGGAAGCATTATCGCGAACTCTTACACAGAGGCCTACTACAGACGCACTGTGACTTAATTAGATGGTGAAGAATAAATTCTTCAAAAAGTAGATGTATATTTTGAAATTTGTATAGAAAAAATTTATGCCTACACGTAGAAAAATATAAATTGAAACTTACCGTACTTTCAGATTTGTGTGTGTGTGTTCAAAAAGTAAGGTGAATTTTTAATTGTGCGGGCTACGTATTCGATCATCGATACATTTTTTTATTATGTTGATATACATGTCCCTCACATACTACTGTGGGCAAAAAGTAAGGTGAATTTTCAATTTAAACTTCGCGGGCTTAACATTTCGGGCTAGTTCTTTTTTTCTTGAGTTGGTAGGACTACGAATGACATCTGGGACAAATTTCATGTCAATGTCATCATCAGTAATATATTTACGCTTGTGTTTACCAAACGACCAAGAGTGCATGTTTCGATTTTTACAATGTCTGATTTAATTGAGCAAAGAAGTGCCATCAAATTTTGTTTGAGGAATGAAATTTCGGCTGCGGAAACGTTGAGGATGTTGCGGAAGGCCTTTGGTGATTCTACCATGTCGCAGAAAAATGTTTATAAGTGGTACAAAGACTTCAAAGAGGGTCGAGAACGTGTTGATGACTTGGAGCGCTCCGGACGACCATCGACGTCAACAGATGACCAACACGTCAATAAAGTGAAGGAATTAGTGCTCGAAAATCGTCGGTTGACTGTTAGAGACCTTACTGATATGATCGGAATATCAGAAGGATCTGTGAAAACAATTTTGAAAGACTATTTGGGCCTACGAAAAGTCAAATCTCGTTTGGTACCGAAAACGCTCAATTTCTTGCAAAAAAGTCGCGCGTTGATGTGTGTGAAACAATGCTTTCTGACTATCAGGACAAGCTCAAATGCATGATTACGGGAGATGAGACTTGGATTTATGCTTACGACCCTGAAACAACCGACCAATCAAGCGAATATCGTGCTAAAGGCGAGGCCAGACCGAAAAGAGCACGTCAAAGTCGTTCAAAAATCAAGGTCATGATGACAGTTTTCTTCGATTTTCGTGGTGTGGTGCACTATGAATTCCTTCCACCCGGCCAAACTGTTAATAAGGAATATTATTTGAGCGTTATGCGCCGTTTGCGTGAAGCAATTCGTCTAAAAAGACCAGAATTAGGGGCCAACAACTCTTGGTTTTTGCATCACGATAATGCACCATCTCACACTGCACTCGTTCTTCGTGACCATTTCGCCAAAAATTCGACGCATATCGTTCCGCAACCACCGTATTCGCCTGATTTGGCTCCGTGTGACTTCTGGCTATTCCCAAAACTCAAGAGACCACTCCGGGGAACGCGTTTCGAGTCGATTGAGGAGATAAGAGCTGAATCGAAGAAGGCGCTGATGGCTATACCGGAAAGGGACTATTTGGCATGTTTCGAGGATTGGAAAAAACGTTGGCATAAGTGTATTTTATCGGGAGGGGATTACTTCGAAGGGGATGACATTGATGTAGAAGAATAAATAAAGATTTTTCATTTTACAAACAAATTCACCTTACTTTTTGCCCACAGTAGTATGCTCACAGTTTCAGCTAATTTGTATGTTTACTTTTTTTTGCGAGACAGAAGCGTTAGACGTGTTTTTTGTGCTCGGCGATTTTCTACTGTCGAAAACAATGGATCAAAGATTTTGCATAAAATTTTGTGTAAAAAATGGAATTAAGTGCTCCAAAACACTTGAAATGTTGACAGTGTTATACCGCGAGTTTATTTTCAATAAAAACAAATGGTATAAGATCTTTCAAGATGGCCGAGAAGACACCGACGACGAACCTCGCTCTGGACGCCCCAAGACTTCAATAACTGATGAAAGTGTTGAAGAAGTGAAACAAATGGTGTTAAAAAATCGTCGAATCACTATTAGAGAAATGGCTGAAGACGTTGGCATCTCTGTTGGCTCGTGCCATTAAATTTTTTCGAAAGTTTTGGGCATGAAACGTGTTGCAGCAACATTTGTTCCGAAACTGCTTAATTTTAAACAAAAGGACCGTCGAAGGAACATCGCTCAAGAGCTGTTAAACAACGTCACTTATGATCTTGATATGCTCAAAAGAGTCATAACTGGTGACGAATCATGGGTTTAAGGTTATGACGTCGAAACTAACGCACAACCGTCCCAATGGAAGACTCCAGAAAAGCCAAGACCGAAAAAAGCACGTCAAGTTCGATCAAATGTCAAGGTTTTGCTAACTATTTTCTTTGATTATCGTGGCGTAGTACATCAAGAGTTCTTACCACAAGGTCGTATGGTCAATAAAGAGTATTATCTTGAAGTTATGTGCCGTTTGCGACAAGCAATACTAAAAAAACGTCCGGAATTGTGGGAAAATCATTAATGGACTTTGCATCACAATAATGCACCTGCTCACTTATCCTTGCTTGTATCGAACTTTTTGGCCAAAAACAAAACCACAATTAAGTTTCAGGCACCATATTCACCGGATATGGCCCCCCGCGAAATTTTCCTATTCCCAAAACTCAAGAAACCCATGAAAGGACGGAGGTTTGGAACGATTGAGGAGATAAAGAAAAAATCGCTGAAAGAACTCAAGGCTATACCAGAAAGTGCTTATCAGAAGTGCTTCGAGGATTGAAAAAAACGTTGGCACAAGTGTATTATATCTGAGGGAGATTACTTAGAAGGGAGCAACATA